AATAATAAAATATATAGCTAGCGGTACCTTTGAAATTTCTACAAAAGTAAAATATTACATAAACTCTCCTGAATAACTTGAATAAATATGGCTGAATTAAAAAATAAATACATAAAGAAATTAATTGTGCCCCAAAATTTTACTTTCTTGCAAATTCTCTGAATATTTCTTTAATCCCCGAAGTTTCTTACTTGTTTGTTTAATTTTTCCTTTTCAAATTTTTTTGGCAATATCATTTCCCAATATCCTATATAATTCAAGGAAAATAATTTTTTATTCAACTTTATAGGTGTTCAAGGTATTTTTAAAAACAGCACCGACTCACTGTCAGAGTAACGCCGTGATTGAAAACTTCTAGAAAATCTAATTTAAACAAGTGAAAGCATTTACGACACACGAAATTTGTTAATTGTTAGAACTTGCGGCCTATTTGTTGAGATGGGAGATCGTTAACGTTAAGTAATTTGTTAGGTACCTTCCTGTACGAGGATTTCACTACTTATTTAGGAACACCTGAGTATTTTATCCTCAGAAAAACCCCGAAAAAAAGGAAAGTATTTTGGTACAATGTTGTCGCCTGAAGGCATCCAGTGATTTATCACAAAGAGACGTAACTTACATTTTTAACCGAGAAATGTCATTAACCGACTCCCAAAAATAAGGAGGTTCGTCAGTTACGCGATTGCTCAGACATTTGTGAATTATTTCGATGATTTTTTTTTTTGTTGGGAAGCAGGTACCGTAGTAGTATTCTCGCTTAAATTTGAAGAAGATATTCTACCTCTAAGGGTGGCAAAAAAAAGATGAATCCGACTTGTTGGAATTTACCCTCTTTCATTCAGAGGAACTCCTCAACTGGAAATATTAACTATACGCGATTTAGATCCGAGAAAAAATAGATAATTTCCTAAGTGAACAAGTACGGATTGTACGTTAGAAATAAAATCCGGCACCCAGTCATGACCATGAGACATGTTAAGGACCCGAAACGTTTCATTTCCAAAACACATTCTATGTTGCATATAATTCGTTTTCATTAAAATTTCAAATATTACATCCTTTAGCTTTGTCTACAAATCAAGGGATGACCAATCTAATTAATGATTTTTTTAAGATTACAAAACAAATACAAGAAACAGAAGTACCATAATCATTAATTTGCTCCCCACATATCAAGTACAAACAAACACATGATGAGAATGATAATAAACGACCCTTACATGAAGTCGCGTGTCTTGTACAAAAGTAGTTCGAAATTGATAATTGGTCAATAACAGGTTACTATTGTTAACGTTTCTTCCGGGTCGCCTCAAATTGACGCAGCTACGTGACGCGATTCCGCGGTTTATTAAAACAATCAAATCAACATAGATTTTGTTTTCTGCAAGATGATTGATGATGATGACGGTGACATTTGTTTAAACAAAAAATGAAAAAAAAAGATGCGCTACGTAGCACTCATTTTGCAAAATGCAACGTAATATACAGAACATATTCTTTACAGAATAAAATATGTAAATATTTATTATTTTGTATTATTTTACATTGTAAGAATTTATTTTATTTTATTTTTTTGTTTTAGTTTATTGGACCACGGCTTTTTTACACAATAAAATCTTAAATAATAATGGAGAGCCAATTATAAGTCCTCACCGATAGAGTTTATTTAGCAGGAAATATTATCTATTTTGTATGTTTTTTTTGCTAAATATATGCGGTGCCGCTTACTGCATCTCTTTTTCATTTTTTGTTTAAAGAAATATGACCTTGTCTTGTAGTATATAAAGTTTATGTTGCATTGCATGTTTTAATGTGGTGCAATATGGCATCGCGTCGATGCTCTAATTGGTGGCGACTCTTATGAGAGAAATAAATAAAATAATATAAAAAATTCTTACTGCATGTTTTAGATTCTTCGAGAGCAATATAAAGTAATTACAATTAATGATCAAGAAAACTTAACGTTCTAAGAAAATATTAGGTAACCTTATATGTTGCGATTTCTATACCTATTCCATTTACAATCTTGCCACCTACAGACCTTACGTAATCACATAATACCACACATTGCCTGATGATCCACTGAGAGTCGTATTCTAGAACTCTACTCAATACTCAAGTCAGGACTTGAGTATTGCAGTGAGCACTGAAAATCATACTCAAGTCCTTGCCATTAGGGTCGTATTTCCAGTGCTTGAAATCATACTCAAGTTGCTCAAATATTGACTTGAGCATTGAGTAGATTTCTGGAATACGACTCTTAGTCTGCTGTTCGCGAATAGTACTTGTTCTAACCGGAGCAGAGTATATATGTCAAACAGTTGCATGGCACTTAGATATCAAATTTACCTAAATAATGGACGCATTTGGAAATAAAGATGTACGCAGTCACCAATGTCAAACCCTCTTCCACAATTTAGGCACATCTGGTGACTGATTCACTGTGATGTATAATTATCAATTTTAACTGATTAAAAAAGAAAAAAGCATTCCTACCACTCTCATTCATAAATAAAGTTACTTCACAAATTTAATAGGACACACTTTTTGAGCGATAGTCGTAAAATTGGGATCCGATGCTATTTTTGAAGAGGCAACTAAAAACAGAATTAATAGCAGTAGAATTCGTACTAGTACTTAACTAAGCAGCCATCTTATCTATTTCAAACAACTCGCCAAACAATAATATAAGCATTAATATGAGTTCCGATTTTGAAAGGTAAGGGTGCTGGTGAAATTATAGGCACTTCAGACTTATTTATTTATTGGTTCAGCAACATACTTAACATTTACATACATTAATACAAGTCTCGTATGTGAGCCAATTACAGTCGAACACATCATTGTCATAATCACTTAAAAACAACATAATTAAAACAATAAACTATTTATACATTATTCTATTAAAAATATACATTTAATTCCTATTGTTTACATCAGATTAAATTTTAAATAAATTGTAAATAAAAATATACACAAAATTGAAAAGTCCAAAAAGAAATTTAATTATCTACCAATATTATGACGAGTAGGCCGCGACAGCTTTGTGGTTATGATGGTGTAAACTGTTAAAATATATGTCAAGATCTGCATGACTACTCAGGCTATTGTAGTTGGAAAGCATCCTGGACACCGGAGAATGGCTCATTACATTTGTCCTGGAAAAGGGCACGTGAAAAGGTGACTGGCGCAGTGGCAGTATCTATCAGATCTTTGCGATTCAAAGTTCTGTGTGGCACTAAACTGCTATAGACAGGTATACCGCTTAACACCAGGCGCGGATTTGGTATCATAAAAAAGCACGTTTGGAAGTCATAGTACGGTTGGTTTCTGCCTGTATGACGTAACAATTTCAACCAAACCAGTATTAACAGAATGAACGATCGCTACACGAACTCATCGTGCGTGTTAATTAAATTTGCGGCTCCTGAGTAACTTTTTACTTCTCTCAATCAAACTTTGCATGGAACAAATTCAGGGGTAATAAGGGCTTTGTGGGCCAATTTACTGACTCGAACAGTTAATTTACACGAGGCTAATATCTTTTACGAGAGGATAAACGTGTACGGTTGCGGGGACGACAGTTTGATAAATGCCGGTACATAGTACAATACCAAACAATTTAATATAATGGTGCCCATTACTAGCAACGACATCGGCAAGTTACAAGCACATTGAACATTCGGGTAATAATGAACTACCTACTGTATAGGGCGACGTGTACATACTGTTTTTAGAAGGTCTTCATAAAGGCTATTATTCCTCTAATATATAATAAAAATGTTACGTACTCACTAAAAACATTTTGTAAGAAAAGCTTCTGAAGACGCTAGGAACATCAATTAAAGTCAGATTTATCTTTCACATACACTGTAGAAACCAAAACTTTATAACTTCATCCCACCCGCTCAAGCCTCAAGTGAAACAGATGTGTATCGTTTTGTTTGAAGGAAACCAATTTATTTCTCCTTTCAATGTCCCTTTCCAGACGATCAGAACTGCCATCTGAAAGGCGTTTTCCAAAAATCGTTATGGCGAAAATCTGAGGTAGGATATTTCAACCCTCCCTCAAAACTGATTAAAGCGCCCTTCATGTGAAGTAGTATTCAGTGCCTTCAAACACTTTTGACGAGGAAAATCCCAAAGAAATGAAGAAATGTAAGGGCGTGAATACGTCTAACTTTTCGACCCTTCCTATGTAATAGGGGATCACTTAATTGCTCTTAACTGTTACTTATTCTTTGGCAAAGAAAATAAATTACCACGATTTCCAGTAAGTGGTTTGGAGCCGTTTTTCTATTACATTAGCGAAGATGTAGTTCCTTTTATGCACGACTTTGTAGTCCAATTTTTCACTGGTTCCCATTGTTACCAACAAAGTTTCTCCAGAGCCCGTATTACGGCCCCTGTCATAAATTTTGACAAACAATGTTGTTGTAGGTATGTTCCGAAATGTTGCAAGGCTGTAGTTGTTAACTTTTACATTGTTTTATTTATTTGACTTTACAACTTGTTCCTTTATGCAACTCGGCGAGCAATAAATCCTGCTTAATCTGTTTAACTTAATCCTACATAGCTTTCGACAAACTTATTCAGCTATATCAGTTCATATAAATCATGAACAAATTTAGCTAAGTATAAAGTTCACAATATACGGAAATAGTAAATTTATTGCGTGTATTGTGATGGAATAGTTAACGTTACATACTTACGTACGAATGGTACGTTTTGCTGTAATCAAGGTGGACAAGCGCCCGGAATTTAACCCGGTGCTTTGTTTTAATCGGGTTAAAACCCATTAACGCCCGAAATCGAGGGAATAAACTATTTACAACTAAAAAATTTATACTTAAATCGTAATATTATTACAAAATGTTTATTGCTCGCTTACATATTTCACCTTTGTATCAAATAGATTCGCTTCTAAATCGCATTTAAATGAATTCATACAAAAACTCGTTATCGCTTTTCATAAAAATCGAATCGTAATGTGTATATTTCTTAGTAGGTGAGAGTCCACAGGACTGCAAGGTGTGTATTGTATCAAAATTAAATTATACGCATACAGTTTTCGGTCCCTGTCTTCTCTCTAACTCAAAAAAATTAATACAACGTGTTCAAAACGCCTGCATTTGTTTCTGTTAATACAAAATTCCACCGAGGAGTCACATAACACCTTTGCTAAACCTACACGGTATTCTTAATATGGAATCTAGAAGGACTTTGCATTTTTCTACTTTGATGCACTCTGTTGTCAGATACAAAAGTCCACCTTATCTATATGCCATGTTAAAATGGCGGACTTTATTCCTATAATTCACGCAGAGTTAATAGTTTTTTATTGGTAACGCCATTCCATAAAACAAGAGCCTGTGAGGGTAGCTTCCGGTATCAGGCATCTAAATGCTGGAACAATCTGCCTTTTCCATTTAGACAGCCAATCTCAAAATTCGCATTTAGAAAAACTATGAAAAATCTATTGATAGAAAACCAACGTATGCTCTGATGCCGGATGTTCCAAACTCTTGTATTCTAACTTTATATTTATATTTATGTATATTAACTTGTAGCTTTGTACGTATACACACGTGTATTGTAAATGTGTAGTGTGGCATGTACCATTTCCTAAGGTCTCTGCCTACGCTGAAACAGGAACGAATTTTCAGTCGTTCCGCGTCTGTCTCGCCCGAGATAGACATATTGTTGAGTCGTATCCTTTTCTTCTTTTGCGCCACTATACACACTTACTAATTTAAAATCAAGCAGCCATTTGTTGTTTCAGTGTTAAGTATTAGATTTAAGTACGTATAGTGACTCAATTTAATGAATAAACATTTTTCTGCCTTTCTTTCTTTCTTTCTTTATTTGGTGGGTTGCCTCTTTTTCGTCTAAAAAAGGTTTTTTACGCCGAATTTTTTTATAAATATGGAACTATACTAAATTTCGTATTATTTTACGCGTATAATGTTTCCGCCTACAATTTTGGGGAGAAATGGATTAAAACCCGGTACTTTGAGTAAAAACAGCCCATCCCTGGCTGTAACTAATGGCACAACCAATATTTAATGTGCACCGGTCTGTATTCTATCGCTACGCTTGTAATATACGTAGGGCGCATTATAGTTTCCGGAACCGGCCACTTACATAAACAATATTTAAAAAGCAATTAAAACATTTGAAAACGGAACTCTTTTGCTGTAAAATACAGTTTGTTTCATCTGACTGTCACTTGTTTTTACATTGTGGCGTCATTTTAGAAATTGGTTGTTGGTGAACAGCTCAGCGGAGCTTCGCTCGGCTTCAAACTGCTTTTGGCGATGAAGCACCATGCAAGACGACTATTTATTTATAGCTGGTTTGCAGAAATTAAATGCGGTCGTGTGAATCTCGTGACGAATCCCGTCCGCTGCTGTGAACAACAAAAACATCGATATTGTGCGCCGTATGATCAAAATAGACAGGCATGTGACATACCATGAGATTCGAGCATCTTTAGGCATCGGCATGAGTCAAATACAATCAATATTGCACAGAGATTTGGGTGTGAAAAAGCTGTGCTCTCGGTGGATCCCACACAATTTGACTAAGGCTCAAAAATCGGATCGCGTCACTTGGTGCAATGCCATGCTGACCAGATTCAACGAAGGGGCGTCAAATTCACTGTGGCACATAGTAATAGGTGACGAAATATGGATTTATAGTTACGATCCCATAACAAAGCAGCAATCGAGCGTATGGGTCTTTCGAGATAAGACGAAACCAACCAAAGTGACGCGCGTGCAAAGTGCTTCTAAGCGGAAGATAGCTTCTTTTTTAATAAAACTTAACACGTGGCTACTGTTGCTTTGGAGAATCGTTGTACCCTGAATAATGATTGGTACACGACCATTTGTTTGCCGAAAGTTATTGACAAACTCCGTAAAAATAATCGTAAACGCCGTATTATCTTGCACCACGATAATGCCAGTTCTCACACGGCCAGACAGACAAATGAATTTTTGAAGGTGAACAATGTTGACCTTATGAGCCATCCCGCGTACAGTCTCGACCTGGCACCTTGTTACTGTCGAAGAGTATGTAAAATATGTTCCAGACGTTGTCACGGAGGAGTGGCATAAATGTTTTCAAAATTGATTTATTCGTATGGAAAAGTGCATTAACGCTAACGGAGAATATTTTACGAAACAATAAATTCATTTTTGACCATTTATAGTATTTTTTTCTTATTCATTCCGGAAATTTATAGTGCGCCCCACGTATTTGTTTTTACTCAACCATCTATGAATTAAGTGGTCTATTAGAATAGTTTCATACGCTCTCTTTTTATATTACGTGTTTTACTATTGTTGTTTATTTATGATGTAATGAAAAATGTTTTATTTCATTAATAGATTCAGGCGTTACTTTGCGGAAGTCCACGTTAATAAAAATGGAACTAAATTAATTTGCTACTCCGCAAACCAAGCGAAGGTTAAATCGTACATAATACCTGCGCTTATGTTGAATATTTTTTTCATGCAGTTAATTTTCTCACCTTCCTTCCGCATAAAATAATAAAATAGCGCAACTAACAAGCGCAACTACAGTCACAAACACCACCACCAAATATACACTCGAAAAAATATTCAACATAAGCACTAATATTTAGCACGATTTAACCATCATCGGGTTCGCGGAGAGCAAATTGATTTACTTCCATTTTTATTAATATTTTATATGTGTAATGCTTTGATAGGTGCAGTCTAGTCTGATAAATTGTTCTTTTAACTTGGATTTATTGTGTAAATTGTAAATTTCGAGTTTTTAGGTTTTCGCGATTGTGACACATAGGAAATGAAACTATTTTTCCGAATTTAAATCACGTATATTTGTTTTTTCAAACAAACCAACGTTTCGGGCTCTTTACAGAAGCCATGATCAGTCAACCGTGACCATGGGACCTGTAAAGGGCCCGGAAACGTTGGTTTGTTTGAAAAAACAAATATACGCGATTTAAGTAAATCCGGAAAAATTGCTTCATTTAAATTGTAAATTGTTTATAAGTTACTGTAAAAACATTACATGTAACCGCACACAAACGATGAGATTTTATTATGAAGAGAAAGTATAACCGTCTTCAAGTAATAAATTTTTTTGTGTAAAACAGGTGAAATGCTTCTGTGTGGGTCACGATTCATCCCGCGCGGCAGTGGGCTGTGCTGATCAGCGGATTTACATATACAGTCTGCATAATGCGCAACTCCTGCGCACTTTGGCCGCTGCACACGATCTTGCCGCATTAGCAATTGCGGATAAAGATCACTTCTTACTTGCTGCAGGTAAACAATCTCTTAAAAAAATTTTTCATCAAAGTAGTGAATATATGATAATTCTAAATCCAACTATGATACTAAATGAGGCATTTATGCAGGTGGCAACAGAGTGACGATTTATTCATTCCACACTGAAGACAATTTGACCAATTTCCGACCAACGAAGCAATTGAAAAGGCGTCAAACTAAATCAACCACCAATATTACTTTATTGCAGGTAAGATCTCTACTACTTTACGTAATATACGGAAGCACGGCCCAGCGACTAAACATGTACTATCAGAACACCAACTTTACAAGCAAAATTAATGGAGTAAGAACTCTACACCTGATGAATTTATTTCGATAAAATGTACGACGAAAATTATGGAAATAAATGAAACATTACTATAACACAATAACGCAACAACGCTCACACTCATAGCCCCGCACTAGGGAAACCCTGTATCGCGGGTGCCATACCACACATAGACGACAACAAATTACATCTTAACTCACGAGAGAAATAAATGTAGGCCATACAAATATTTGTCCCGGCCCGGGAATCCAACCCGGTACCTCTGCGTGGCAGGCCGTTATGGTTACTGTTCGGCCACAGATGCAGTTAAATTAACCTGTATTTTACGTCGCAAATGGAATCAAAAATTTTTGTTGAGATGTATTCATTTTATTCGTGCTTAATGTATATGTATGTTTTCCTCACATATCTATGTATTATTTATGCGTGTAAAGATTTAGGATATTTATAATAATAGAATATCGTCATCAACAACCAATTTATGCATCCTACTGCTGAGCATTGGGATCAGTGAACATTCACCACGACGCCGCCGCCCGGCATAATCCGCGACCCTAGCCCAATGCAAGTTTCACACGTTTTCCGATTTTTATGAACCTTCTTCGACATGCAGATTTCCTCACGCTGTTCCCTTTCACCGAAAAGCTCATGGTATTTTTCAAATTAAATTTCGAACATCAAATCCGAATAACTCAAAAGTGCGAACCCGGATTCGAACCCACGGCTACTCCTTGAGAGGCAGTAGGTCAAATAATTAGGCTACCAATAGAAAATAAATCATTATAGACTGTTAAAATACATTGTGTAAAAATATTTACATTGCATTTTAGTAACATTTTCCTACAATTATTAATACCATTCTTGTTGACAGGCGGAACAAAGTGAACTAATCCCAATAAGTTGCCTCGAAGTATCACGAGACGGTCAGCTAGCAGCAAGTGGTTGCGCTCGAGGTCTCGTCAGAGTTTGGCATCTTTCAACCCATCGGCTTCAGGCGACCCTTAACGGCCACATTGGCCACGTCACCTGTGTGACGTTTTCACCAAACAATCTCCTCGTGTTGAGCGGATCGGAAGATAGAACTGTCGTTGTTTGGCAGTTGGCTGATAATTCCCCTTCATTGACTTACAAGGTAAGTTTCCTTTTAATATCTCATAAGACATCCATGTTTTCGTATAAAACTTTGCTATCAGCTTATAATGCACGATTCCATTATTTGTTTTTAATGCTCTGTTTTTCGTTGATTTCATTAGGGTCATACAGCAGCACTTCAGTCGTTGCTGATGATGTCAGACGGCCGTCGTGCGATGTCAGGAGACAGAGCTCGTAACGTCCACGTTTGGCTCGTTGATTCTGGCATTGTCTTACATTCCACTACCGGTCCTACAGTTAGTCTTGATGTAACACTCAATATGAAGTTCTCGGTAAGTTAAATCAAGTTTTATTCGTTTTTCTGCTCTCTCTTGAACTATTTTGTACGATATCTCTCTTTCTTTCTCTCTTGAACTATCTATACTCTCAATCGGTTTATTTTAGCCTCTTCCAAACTTTACCAGAAATCACGACACCATCTATTATACCAGCTTCTAAAAATTGTAGGTTCGTTTGTTTTTTATTTGATATACTTTACTTGTCATTACATTTTAAATGCCTAATTAATAGCCTTATTCTCTTTAAAAGGCTCTGTAGTAAAAATTTAAGGCTCTTGACCTCTCACCTATAGTATAAATACCTAAATTGCGTCAAGTTATATCTGTAACATTATCTGTTTAGGTATTGTCAGATGGCGACAATTCTGTTCGTATTTGGTCACTGGCAAGGGTTGACAGTGGAGAAGAACGACGTTCTGTCTCTCACGCTGAACGCATCACATGCTTTGCATTAACAGCTGATTCGCAACACGTCGTGACGGGATCCATGGACATGTCTTTGAAAGTTTGGCAGTTGGATGGAGGCAAATTATCACAGGTAAGTAAAGTCCACTTTTTCTTATGTATGGATCATCGGTGAAGAAAAAATATAAGAGGTGCATAAAACTAAGTTCGGATATGATAAAATAAGGCATAGATTTAGTAGAATAAGAAATAGAATCTTCTTTTTTTCTCTTCACGATCGGATTTACTTCTGCTACTGCTATATCATATTGTTTCTCAGCTTCTTTGAGTTAGCTGTTGCCAGCATATTTCTTAGTTGTCATAATGTTTACTTAGGTTTTAGTCGGCCATTCGGACATAGTCACCTGCGTAGCAGTATCAATCACAAATAAAACCCAAGTGGTCTCTGGTTCTTGGGACTGCAATCTCATCGTTTGGGATATCAACACTGGCTCTGATTTGCACCTCCTGTCTGGACATCTTGGAAAAGTCACTTGCGTCAAAGTTACTGGTGATGGCACCATTGCTGTTTCAAGTAAGCTTTAAACTCAGGTGTTGTTTGTGTATTTACTTGTGCTTCTTAGTAAAATATTTTCACCTCACTAGCTCGGAAAAAGTGCTTTTCCATGCTAGCTTGGAAAACGTTTTCGAAATTCGAACTTGACGATGGCTGTGGTCATATTGTGGTACACCTAACTTTTTCTTTCGATGAAAAAACATAATGACACGTTTAACTACGTGATTATCGATATATAGATAAATCAGTTGGTATATTTTATTCTTATTATTGTTGACATTTATTTAACAATGATAACTCATTTAGTTTATTAAATTATTTTTGATGTATGAATTAATAAAACTGACTTGTTATATTAACTGTTTTTCTTTCATCTACCATTTTCCTCGCAGCAAAGTTGTTTTGCGTCTCGTGTTCAGATTTCAATACAAGCACTCGCGTCTAACAATAACTTTGCAGCCTTGCGAAACAAATAACTATTCCAACATTATCGCTTTTAGGTGCTGAAGACAAGACACTAATAATCTGGGAAACGAAACGTGGTTTGGCCTTGACATCGCTAGCATTACACGTGCCTTTACTGGGATTCCAAATAACTAGCGATTGTTCTCGGATTGCAATACATCTTTTAGACAGAGGTGCAGATTATAGACAATATTTTTATATTTTTATATGTACCTCTAAACTATATGCTAATTGATGTCTTGCTCCGCAGGTTGCCTTCCTATGATATGTCTCCACAATACACCTGCTACATACGTAAAGATACCAACATACGCTGCTCCTACTAAAGACATTGATGGTAATTTTTAGTGTTTTATACAGAAAAAGAAAAACACAGGTTTTTCTTTTTCATTTTTGTTAGTGCCATTTATTGTACTCAATCTCCAGAAAACAAAGCGGACGATGAATCACTCACACAAAATCAAACTCCTGATAATGTAGTGAACTTTGTAGTAACCTTCATTGATCTCTGAACGTGGTATTTAATGATAGCATCAATATTTCTGTCTCCGTGTTCAGAACTGCGACCATTAGCACCAAAGCGGCCTATGAGAAGGTTACTCAAGAAGGAAGTGTCTTTGGACACTTACACGTGGCAAAAGAAGTACGGACATCTTACTTCAGCGGCCATGATGGCACAAGTTGATGAGCGGTTGAAACGAAGGTAATGATAGAATATAGTACGTAAAAGAGTACATGATGGTAAAATATTTGAAGTTTGTCATATTAATGATGGAAGGTAGCAAAAGAACCTTTTTGACTACCAAAATAATAGTGTGACGGTAGTGTTTTGTATTTATTTTACCAACAGATTCTCAGTGTCAGCATCAATGGAGGAAATATCTAAGATTCAAGAAGCAAAGAACAAGGACTTGGGGTCTCAGGTAAGTGCGTCAATAAAACATGTTTCGAAGGAATTTCTTCTAAACTTTTTAACTTAATTGTCTTTTACTAGGTGAGTCTCGGTCCAGAAGAAGCAGCTATAGCGCAATCTCAGCACTTTGATCAACTCGAAGCTTTATGGAACAAAATATCTCCCCCAAGACGTCGTTCCAATAAGGTACTCATTTCAATAACATTGAATATTATACTCCTCGTTCGTATTAAATTTATTGTTCAAATAAAAACAGTTCTTTTAGAAATTATTTTGTCTGGTTTGATTTAATTTAAAGAGCTATCATGACAAAAACGCCATTGTGCCATTTCGGTATCTTATATCTTTGTCCTATTAGCCTCAACATTCTCCCGATTTTGTTTCCCCCACACGTAGAGACTCGTTTCTTGAGATTCCATTCGAGACAATACGATAGTCTTTATGTTCGAAATTTCCCATGTTTAATCGACATACATGTCTCAACTTCGACATTATTATTTCTCTCTTTATAAATATCTAAAAAAATTAAGAGTGTTTTGTCATCTTTAGTAGTTTCACTCACAGAACGGTTAAGAAAACCTTTCATCTCTTTACAGTCCCTGACAAAGCAAAGCTCTTTGATAGAAACAAAATTCGATTCATCGGATGAAGAGCACACGCCGATAGAAGAACAAGGTAAGGCACATAAAAGTTCTCTTGAATCCCGCTCTTAAAAGATAAACCTTTTATAAAGACTATTGGACTGCACTATTTCGTTTTTGGCATGAGATAATTCAAAATGTTTTTTGTGCAGAACACATGGTGGAATAAAGGAAAGTATACTCCAAAGCTGAAAGTATGTAATTTTAGTTTTTTTTTTCTTTAAATTATGCAATTTTTTATCAATTTAATTTATAACTATTAAACTAGTTTGTATAGCTTAATAATCAGTTAGATTATTTTATATTATTTATATTGTAAATTTTACTATTTTGTATATTTTGTAGCGTCGCCGACGAATTTAGGTTTAAAGTCTTAAATTTTAGCTTTAACGAATATGATTTAAATTTCAAACGAAATTTTAGAAGGACTCGTATATAAACTGTTGTATTAAGATTTAATTTTTAAATTATATGGTAGTGTTTAGGTATCCTGCCTCTATGCAATGTGATCTTCTAGGTGTAGCTTCTATTGTTTCAGGGCCAGTTTGTCTCGTAGTTCAAGTAAAATAAATTTGTCGGGCACTACAATTAAAAATTGCAAAGAACGTGAGTGGTACTGAGGTTTGTAAAAAAGCGCCACTCGTCAAATATGAACAGGCTAATAAATCATATCATACGAATCAAATTTGAACAAAAGTGTTAGGACAGCCTGGCATGGCCTGGCATAGGTTATCGACGCTATTTAATTGCAGTATACAAATACTACTTAGTAGTTTCACAAAATGTCGAATTTCAACCGCTCCGCAGACGACCTTATACTAAATAATTTGCATTAAAATTATTATGTAAAATTCTTTTAATAAATAACTGGTCCTAATCTGTATTAGAAATAGCATTTAATAATTGCTATATGTAAGTTCTAAATAGACTATTACTGTATTTTAGAATGTTGTACCTATTTCTGTTATTAGGTATTTGTGATAATTATTGTTAACACCCATGTGCAATATTATACCAATTTTTTATTGATCTAGATTAAAATTTAGTTTACTACTTGTTTTCAAATAACGTTCATTGGAATCAAATTTTATGTAGATTATTAATATCGACCATTATACTACCTAGTTTTGAAAAGTAGCCGTTTTTTTTAAATTAATAGATGTTTATTTACATTACGTTTATTATTATTATACATATATACATACCTAACCCTTCAATTATATTGACATTGATTGGCTGAAATTATGTCGAAAATAAATACAACCTTTTTCTAAATTATAAAAAGAACTTCATATCACTACTTGATAGGCTATTGTTTATTTTTAAATGAAACCTGTTATGCCTGGAAGGATTTCTGAAGGAAAATTATAGAAAACTTAATTAAATTAAAGGTGACTCTACCATTTGTATCGTTATATTCGAAACTTTGGTAAATTTTGAGAGGCATATTTTAGGAATTTGGAAAATGTTACATCCGTATTACGCTTCGAAAAATTACATTTATCGAAATTGGAAATCGAAACTAAAAAATTTTATTTCAACCAAGAGTCATCCTCACGAGTTTTTTTTATGAACTATTTTATAATAATGTATCTAGTAAGACTTAATCTCACCGATCAATGTATCGTACTAGAGTTTTCCAAACTGTGATCCCTTATAAAGACTTCTAAGTAGGTAAGCATTATATTCGAAACTACAAAATATATCCTTATGAATATAATGATACTTAGAATATTTAATTATGTCTAATTATAATTACAATAAAACTTATCGCCTAAAATTTAGACATATTTTGTCCTTTTATCTAGAATAAAAGTAGACATGGTAAAAGTATATTGTCAGAATAAATTTAGAGCTACGTATGTAGACGCTATATCCCTTTGGACGCCTTTTACAAGGAAAACCCATTTTATCTCTCTACAATACTAATTAGGTACAAGTAATTTATGTCACATTTTCTTTGCATCAATTAATGTACGTAGTACTCGTAAATACTAACTTTACATGATTTTGATGCAGATTAAATGAAATCTATATCTAATCTAACATGTTGAAACCATAGCTGATTATTAACCAAAGAATATAAAAATTCTAACACAAAAGGTTACAATAGGAAATCAAGGAAATTCAGAAAATTGTTACAAAAGTTGCAAAATATCTTTGGGGTTATTTCAGTTAATCATATATCATTGAATGTTCAATGATAGAGGTTACTGAGCGTTGTGATACCGACGCTACCACAAAAATCATGTCAATCACGAGCGCATAACGTGATCACGTATCATTTTGCATCCAATATAGCAACCATAATACGTCTCGAAAATCTGATGAGCTATAATAATATAAACATAGACCACCTTAAACTGATTCTATGTTCACAAAAGCTCGTGGCAGAATGGGTTGAATTCAAGTTTTTTGTAGAATTATTTTTTCTATTATTGCTGCTTCGTAGTAACGTCATACGGTTGAAGGTACAATTAAATCAAATGCCACATATAAAATGAAATAATAACGTGTAGTTTCATAATTTGAATTAAGCGTTAGAATTAAATGTTACGACTAGAAAATGCAATAATATTTCATAAGTAGATGCACATACTCGTACTTGTAGGACTTTTTGTTAGAATAAGAAATTACGCTCTTCGTAGACTGTTTTAAAGAAATTATTGTTTATAAAGCCGCACTTAATTTCAGTAGAGATTCCACCTGCTTCATTCGTTTAAAGTTTCACTGTATCCGATCTCGAAAAAGTAAGGGAAACTGAATTTTGCTAAAAATAATAACGCATAAATGTTTTGTCCTCAAAATAACCTTAGGTACCTACAATGCTATGCAATAAGCGTACGATAATCTTTAGACACTGTCACCTTGTTGACTAATTGTATAGAGTTTTATATCTTTATCGATTCTTATTCCTCACAGCGGTGAGCCTTATTTTGGACCTGTCGTGGTGTTATATCTGAAATATATTCTCTGTGTTTCTTAAACGTTGTTTTATTTATTATTATAAAAACCTGGTAACGCACACCTAGGGTAACTAACCGACTTGACTCCATCCAAAGTACGGCTGTTCGTATTGTCGATGATCCCAAATTGGCAGACGGGGAGCCCCTTAGCCTAAGGAAAGACGTTGGATCTCTGTGTGTGTTCTACCGTCTTTATAAAGGTGCCACCATCTCGTTTCCACCATAGCACCTCCCGATATCCTCCCATAGAGCCTACCACAATGCTAAGCAGATGGACACTTGTGACGCCCTCGGTCGCCTCTTACGACCCCCACGGGCATGTATGGGGAGGCGACAATGTATTCTTAAGCCGTCGCCCCACGGCTTATAATATATACGATAATACAAGATAAGGAATGATCTTCGTCCTGAAGTATTTCCTTTGCGCTCTGACATGGAGTTCTTCGAAAAGCGTGTTTACAGGGCTCTCAAAGGCTGGCAATGCAGACCCACCATTTTGTCAAAAAGTGATTAAAAACTGATGAAAAAATTGACATCTGTCACTGTGGTCGTGGTGGACATTTATCAGAAATCATTTTTCATTTATAATTGCCAAACCTTACTTTTTTTAACACAGTAAAATTTGAATCATTGTCTTCTAAATTGATTGTTCTATTTTGATTTACAAAACAAAGTTCTTGTTTGATTTACAAAAGAAAACCCCTTTATATAGCCAAAGCACAATAAACAAATAAATGAAATTAAAATCAGAAATGTTAGAAGCATCTTTGTTGGAAAAAAGTAAATTTATGAGGAGGCTGTGTATTAGAGACCTTTGCCTACCCAAATAAATGGGCGAAATATAAAAAAAAACCTTCAATGGCAAATTTATGAATTACCTTTTAGATGATATCGTATCGTTATCAATACGTGACAGTTTTACATATTATTTGGGATGAAAATTTGTTTTACGATAAATGATTGATATTGTCAGTCATCCTCTTGAGTATACATACCTACGTCAAAAAGGTTGTTTAAAAAACAAACGTGATTTTCGATCCCAAAACAATATTTCTATTTCCGATACGTTGCCATAGCAAAACCTTAGAATTTTAAAAGAAGTTTGGCATCCAAAATAATTAAATGTAAACGCTCTTTTCTGTGCGGAACCATTTGTTTGTTTTTATAAACCATCATGACCGGTGTTCAAAAGTTCATCTGTATAATTACAAGCATTCTCTGTAAACAAATATTTTCTGCTACTTTAAAATTAATCAACACACACACCACACGTACATCAAACATACTCCGAATCACACAACATCACACAAATCACACTGTTATTATGAATGTATACATTTTTTTATTATTAATTTGTTATACATCAATTGAAACATTTCATTCCAGTAGTTACTTGGAGTTTAGTGTTAATATATACGATAATACAATCTTATTGACTACTATGGAAAAAATCGACCTCCAAAGTTCGTGGAATTACATCTATTTCCCAAGTTTTATTCAAATTGGTGACCGGAAAGTACGCGAAACAGGATTCATCCCCTAGTTTGCCACCATTAAGAGTTAGAATATTTTCTTCAAATTTAAATGAGACCAATCATCAAAATCGGTTTACAAATGAATGAAAAATAATACCGGAGTTATCGCGTAACATACACACATCAAAAAAAGTTTGCGATCACTTTTAAAACTTGAAATATTTTTTAATTTCTAAAAATATTTCAAAAACCTCTTTAGTGATACTATTATTTGTTTTTAATTTTAATTATTTATTTAATGTTGTACTTTTAACAAAAAAACTATTTATTACATATTTCTTAATAATATTTCCACATATTAAAAATATGTTAAGTTTTCAAACTGATCGCAAACTTTTTTTGATGTGTGTACATACACAACTTCTTTTTTTTTTAAACCTCCTTTAAAGCAGATTAAAAAATAAGTTACTAAGTAAAATGTGAATCTCGTTATAGTTCCAAACATTTTTTTCCAATTGAGCATATAATATACTGAAAAGATTGTAAAAAGAGGTTAAATAAATGACAATAAACAAATTGATCATGGTGTTACAACACAACACTTGAACATATCGTGTACTGTCCACCATAACGAATAGATACATAAATAAAATGACGCTATCTATCATAACATAACACTTCAGAATATCCCATGTGGTAGCGATAGTACCAACTTTTAATAACATAATAAGCAACATTATAATAAATACCCCAATCTTATCTTGTAAAAGATACAATATCGGGCATTTAGCACGAAATTACCCACGATAAAGGTAAAACGTATCTACTCAATCGACGCGGTCGAGTGGGGAATGTATTCCACATGTGTTAACAAATTCTTATGTTTCAAAGTCACTTCTATGTGTCAAGTTAACTTACATAAAACAACCTATAACGAAAGTTAAGTAATCAACGTGTGGTGTGAGTAAAATAATAATTCAGAGACTATATATAATACGATCAGACAAGAAAATGCTACCAAAAAGTGTCGTGTACCATGTCGTGTTAAATCATAACTTTACGGAGTTTTGTCCCTGATTATTACGATGGAGAACGACATATTTTCATCCAGAATAATCACGGATACGGATAATGGAAATGTTATAATATCAAATCGCACAGTCCTCACAATCCTAACATTCACGACGAGCACTATCGGCGTGGCGTTGTCTATGATCGCCTTGGTGTTGTTAATTGTCACAGCTATATTATTCGCAGAATGGAGACGAATTTACAAAAACCAACTTCTCATACAGTTTATGCTCGCGAGGTTCTTCTTTACAATTGCGAGATACTTCTACGATGTGACTAAAGTATTTGATATAAATGTGACGCCTCAGCTTTTTACTAATTTGGACATGTTAATATTGTTCTACACAGAAATGGTTTTATTGGCTTGGATGGCGATGTTTACGAAACAAATGTACGACAGTCTTGTAAAACTGTTCGTTTTTGAGTATCCACGGCTTTGGAAAGTGTCTCTAGCGACATGGCTAACACCGTGTTTTTGCGCTACAGTGTTCTTCGTTATCTATGTAATACAATTCGAACAGCTACGCCTGTATATAGTGTATCTATTAATCGTAAAGTTGCCTATAATAATCTTTGTGGCAATTTTGTTAATCCGAACAACCAAATCAATTATAAACGTAAATAAGAGTAGGACAGAAAATAATTCACGTATTTTGATTGTAATGGTTGCCCTCATTTTCATGTTTTGTATACAGCAGATCGTTGTAGATATTTACAAGTTAGTGGCTGTAATTATAATGCATAGGAAAAACGAAATGCCGAACATTATACATACAAGTTTTGTCATTTTGAACATATGTGCTATATATCATTGTGCATTTTCTATTCTATTCTGGTTGTTTGGTAATGCTCAAACACGAAAATTATGGAAGTTTGAAAAGAGGCATGAAACACCACAAAAATGTTTATCTTTGAGACTTTCGACGAAATAATGTAATTCGTTTGCTCGTTCATTTACATAATCCTTTCTCTGTAAACTTTATTACACTAATTAATTTTGTGAAATTATGTTATCTCTTCTTCAAATTGTTTAATGAAATATTCTCGCGCGGTTAATGACCGTGAAATATAGTATTGTATCAAAATATGTCTGTTTAAAACGAATTAATGTGGTAATATCCTTCACCGGCGTCCTACTTTACTGGTATTTCGAACAATGGAGCAGAAAAGCCCATATTGCTCTCACATTGATATATAATTAGTACAAAACAACTGTTGTAACGTGAGCCTCGAGATAATACCACATTACTGAATCTGAATTATGTAATTCATTAAGATACAAGAAGAAGACAGAAAATTCCACGAATTTCTAATGAAATAGGAATATATGATCAAAAATATTATTTTATTTATTTTATGTATTTGTTTTTACTAATTACGTACTTTACAAGTAAGCCAGATAATTCTTACAACAATGACGAAATAGCTAACATAAATACATTGAAAATAAACCACAAGAATACCTCATTTTTCCCTTCAGAAATCAGAAACAAGTATATGTTGTCTTCAAATAGAAATCCATCACTCATCTACTTAGTTATGGGCTGAACAATATTCTCACATGAATATTAGATACATAATTACTCGTATAATATAAAGAAACATATTCCTACGTACTCATCTTGCATTCTACCTGCCGATTGTAAAAGATCGATTAGCATTTCTTTTTAAATCGAAAAAGAATTCTAATCGATTAAAGTAATAACATCCGGAATATCACAAGTTAAAAAGTTTCTTAACTCTATACAGACAGTACAATCTTAGATAGCATTATATAGACAAAACAAACAAAATAAATGAAATGAAAATGAAAATTCAGCATTGTAAACTATTAAGAAAAACAACTCTCCCTTCGCACCTCCGGCTTTTAAATTACGCTCTTAGTATCGAACAGACAAATACCATGGCGAGTCGGGTGTAAACTTATTATTTATAAAATGTGAAATCACATAAAAATTATATAAGTTGACAATGTATGAAATTATTGTTATGTAATAATAATAACAACGCACACACTCAACATAGTTCCGCTATAGGGAAACTCTGTGTCGCGGGTGCCATGGACATACAAATTACACCCAAACTCACGAGAGAAGTAAATGTAGGCCACACACATATTTTTCCCGGTTTCGGAATCGAAACCAGGACCTCTGCGTAACAGTCCAATATGGTAACCGTTCAGCCACAGAGGTTGAGGTAATATGAGCTCTACATCCTTTTTTTTATAAAATGTGATTATTAATTATCAAACAAGATCGAACACTCAGAAAAAACACTCAGAAAAAATTCCTTCGATCCGGTCGGATTCGAACCGACGTCTTCTTGCATACCGTGCCAGACGCTATACCAACTAAGCCACGGAACGAACCAACGGACCTCACGAATTTTTTCTATGTGCTTGCGTC